AAAAGTAATTTTATCTCTAAAAATATTTTTGAATCGCAAGCATGTCTTTAGAAGGATTTTTAGATTTGATTTACAAAACAAAATTATTTGATTGTAAAGTTAAAAAATTTCCCATCGATTAGCATTAAAATTGGAAGCAGTGAATTTTTTAACGAAATGTCCTTTTCTGCCCCCATCCTAAACGAGGTCTTAGAATCTAACAAAACATATTTGTTTGACCGAACAACTACTTATCCAACTACAGTACTAGGAGAAAAACAATAATAGCATAGGGATAGACCTTTAGCTTGAAGGGATGGAACCGACGACGGACAAAATTAACTACTTTTCCTTTTGGGTGGGTTGGGTGGTTGAGTACCTAACATTCAAACAATAAATATGAATGACATGACACATCAGCAATGACTTGATTGTTAGGCTTGCGATGCTAATAAGTTAATGCTCGAAGAAATCTTCTATGCTTGTAGTCAATTCATGAGTATAACAGCATCTGCGATGTCCATGAATAGCAACAAATTTATGCACTTTGTCACGTTCTTTCTTTCTTTTTTTTTTCTTTCTTTCAATTATTTGCCCTCCTTAATAAAAATTCTAACGATGAGTATAATATAACCAAATTCATTGGATTTGGAAAAACTAGATGCTCTCCTAATATTTTATATTATAGTAGTGTTGGGCTTCGGCTTCGCTTAGAATGTTAAATTAATTTTTAATATTTTATTTTATTAATATTTGATTGAATTAGAATTTAAAATAATTTAATATAAAGTTAATATTATTAAGTGTAAAAAAATTTGTTAAAATAATTGACAAAAGAAAGTTAATATTAAACTAAATAGAAAATATTAGATATGCATTTTAAAGTTACAAAGTTTTTAAAAAGTGTGTTATTTTATTTATTATTTTTTTACAATAATTTTGTATTGGATATTTCGTATAGTTTTATAATTTTTTGAAAAAAAAGATTGTTTTTTTATAAAATGAGTTGTTATAATAATTTGGAGATTATTTTTAAGTTTTTATATTATTTTTGTGTAGTAATAAAATATTTATTCTATAAATTATTAAAATTTAATTTGAAAAAAAGTAAAATTTTATTTATTATAGAGTAAATATATTTTTGGTAAAAGAAGATGCAATTATAATATCAATAGCTGCTTATGAAACAAATAATAGAAAAAAATCTCATAACCAAACCTTAGCTCAAATAAAAAATAGAGGAAGAAAAAGAGGAAGAGGCGATAGAAAATTTGATAAAAAAGATGTTTGTATGAGGCTTGTTTCTAAACAAGATTGGATTCAGCTTAGAACCATAAATACATGAGTTTCTATACTAGAGCAGTATTTGTAGAAATAGTTTCTACAATTACTTTGCCATCAAAGAAACTGAGGGCCCTATGAAAACTATCCCAAATTTCTTGCTTTATTGGAATACATTTAATTAAGCATTTCTCATGTCTTGGTCTTAAGAAGTAAAAGGCACAATTGTTGAAACAACAAGTATGAGGTAACATAGGATACCTGACCTTCATTATAATAAAAAATAAAAATATGGTATAAAAAACGAAAGTTCAAATTCCAAGTAACATTTACTTTTAATGATTCAATATACTACTTTTCACCAAGATCATTGTGGGGTTTTAAGGAAACCTACAAAGGGGATTATTTCCACCTTAATATCGTGAACACATAGCGACTACTCCATTTGTATAACAGTGATGGGATGATTAGCATGTGCTTTCTTTATGGTTTCAGGGCTAGCTTTAGATAAACCAATATATTTTATTTTCCTTTCTTCCACCAACTTTTTAAGTTTTCCCATCTAAGATAGAAAGAATAAACATAAATAGCTTAGTTTTAAGTTCAATCAACTAAACATTATAGTACCACAATGAGCATTTAAACCAAGAAAAGTATAGGATGTTTTCTACTATAACATTTATAATATCCTCTATTGGTATTGTGGTGTTGACTCTGTGCTGATAATAGATATCAATGTATTCGACATCAAGGCATTTCAGGCTAGCTTCCATAGAGGCATGAACATTTTCAAATGTACCATGTATTGTTAAACTAGTAGAATCTATTTTTGTAATACCAAATTTTATAGCTAACTATATTTTCTCTCGTGCTAACTACTTCAAGGCCTGAAAACATTGGTTTTCTAAGTCATGAATTGGTTTAACAAAAACCATTTGTTTAAACTAATTTAAAAGCAAAACCAAAAAGTTGTTGGAAGTTGGAATTCATTCTAAAAGTCTATAATAGGACTTCACGTGCAAGCATGTTACCTCTCTAACCAATATTTCATTAGTTTTGGGTCAATATATGTATGATGTATCAAATAAAGTGATTCTTTTACCGAATGCATGCTTGATGATTGATAAGCCAACATTTTTAAAGACAGGATCATTATACATTCCTGTAAGTCCCATACAACCAAACCCTAACTTGGAAACCTATAAAATGATAGAGTTGGCAATAAAAATGAGATAAGAATATACTATTTGAGAATGAAAATAATGTAAATTTGATTGACAGTTAAATTTGATTGAGTTAAAAATCTTTGTAAAAAAATGCAACATAAAAAAATAAGAACAGCTACAAAAGTTATCAGAATTGAAAGCCTATTAGCTCATAAACATTGCCATGCAACCTCTTATTGACCACTCTTAGAAGAACAAAATCTTACCTTATATCTTTGAATTCCTAATTTCACTTTAAGAATCTCAACTTTTAAAAAAATAAAATCTTTCCTTAAATCTTATTGACTACTCTTAAAAGAACAAAATCTTACCTTAAATCCTTGAGTTCCTAATTTCACTCTAGGAATCTCAACATTCAGCTACTTTTCAGCTATGTTTTATCTTTTGTTATTGAATCAATGCTTCACTCAATGCACAGTAACTAAAAGCTATAGGAAATATATTAGTGTAACTAACCTTTATGGTGTATATATACTTGAAAAAACCCTAAGAAAAAGATAACAAAAATTAATCAAAAACAAAATGACAACTTCATTCAAAGAACATGCAAAACAAAATACTCCAAAAAAATGTACAAATTATTTATTGCAACATTATGTTTCTATAAGCAACAATCTGATTTTCATCCAACATCAAAACAAGCAAAGAGAAATTATTTCAAAAGAACACATTCAGAACAACACACAAACTTGAGATCCATAAAACCCAAACCCTAACAGCAAAATCATCTTAAAAAAACAAAAAAAAAAAACCAACATTCAATTAAATAATGAAAAATAGCCACAATTTTACCAAAAAATAGCCCAAAAAAAGAAAAACTTGTGAAGTCTCTCCTTCACACCAAAAGCTCCACTTTCTGAAGTAACAATAAAAACCCAAAAATGAACTTTCGAAATTACAATTAAAACATAAGTATCAAATACAAAACAACAAAAAAGGACACAAATTATGTACAGCAAAACTATGTTTTTTTAAACAATAATTTTATTTTCATCCAACATCACAACATGCAAAGAGAAATTCTTTAAAAAGAAAACACACACACATTCATAACAACATGCAAACCTTAGAATCACAAAACCCAACCCCATTTAACAATCCAACTCCATTTAACAATCCAACTCCATTAAATAAAATGAAAATGTGTAACAACAAAGTCATCTAAGGAAACCTAAAAAGAACAAAACCCACATTCAATTAATCAATGAAAAATAATCACAGATTTTACCTAAAAACAACTAAAAAAAAAAGAACTTGAGAAGCCTCTCTTTCATGCCAAAAGCTCCACCATCTGAAGTAGCAATAAAAACCCAAAAAAGAACCCTCAAAATTGAAGTTAAAACACAAATGTCAAAGACAAAACAACAGAAAAAAACACGTATCCTCTGAAAGAATTTTCTGACCGATAAAACCCTAACTCGATCCCAATGAAATAATAAAAAATTGTAAAAGAATCCAAAAAAAAAAGTATACATGGCACTTTCAATAGACACATTTTATATAAGAGTATATTGATTTAATAAATTATATGACTGCCAACAATTATTTTTATTTTACTTAAATCCCATTTGATAAAGTAAATAATAAAAATTAAATAATGAATTTTTATTTTTTTAAAAAATTAAATATTGAATTTATTGTATAAAAAAATTGGTATGCTCCTAAAAATTATGAGTAATAATATTTTTTATTAATCTCTTATAAAAGAGAGATACGATATTATAATTATTTTAATTGATAAAAATTTTTAAAAAATGCATTAATCAAATAATATTTAATATGTTCAAGATTTTAATAATAAAATTTATTTTATTTTTATTTCATATAATAGCTTTTTAAGTAAAAAAAATTAAAAAGGAAAAATACAAATTTAAAAAGAAAGAATATAAAATTAATTTAATTAATAGTATTTTTTATTCAATAAAATTAGCTTAATACCTTAAGAAGTAAAAAATTACATATCATTTTAAATATTTTTATCAAAAAATTTTAATTAAATGATTCTTATATTGAAAAAATAAAATCATTGAAGAATTGGTGAAAACAATTCTGTACTAAAAATTTGTCAATTTGGTGGAAAAGGAAGGAATGTCTGTGTTTCCTGTTGAAGATTGTAAAAGCAAACTTGATGCATTAAGTTTATATTGCAGTCGCCAGTAGCAAGGAGGAAGTAGCGGATAGGTAAGGTAAAAGGTAAGCAGTCCGATTTTTTGCAGAATTAACATATCTCCACTCTGCTTTCATCTCCTACTTCTGGTTGGTACTAAAATTCTGCTTCATTTCGGTTTTGGGTCAGCCCATGAGTTGTTTATATGCCCAACAAATACTGGGTTTACACCATTATTGAAACCGCCCATATTAGCCCAGACAAAATTTGGCGGGTAAATTGGATTAACTTCTGATTTAGACGAGGTGGAAGTTTCGAAAACCCTAGCTAGACCATTGCGTGTTTAGGGTTTTCGTTCGTTGCTTACTCGGATCCTCAATTACGCTCAAAGGGTAAGTTGATTCCTCCTCAAGTCTCGTTCAATGGTTTTCGATTTTCTTTCTTTCTTTTACGGAAAGAGAAACGGGAAATGTGAATGCTTTGAAACCCATTCAATTCGGGGTTTCCAAGATTTTGTTGACTTAAACAACTACTTTATCTTGATTCTTGCTGGACCTTGAATTTGCTTTTACTTAGCCGTTGGCCAATGAAAATTCGTTCAATTTTTTAATGTTTTTAATTTCTCTGCACTTTGACCTGATCTTTTAATTGCCATGTTTCATGTCTTGGATGTGGGTATTGTTTTGGCAATGTACTTTTTCATCTGTCAGTTTGGGATATTGTCACCTAGGAATTTTGTTTAGAATTAGATTGTTCGGTGCAGCCTGCAATAGACTATTAATTTATTCTTTTTTTTTAGTATATTTGTATTGGTTAAAGATTACTATCCTTGCTTATCTTGGTTGTTCTAGTTGGAGCCTTCAAATGCTCTGTCATAGGTTGTTGATGTTGCATACTGCTTTGTATGATTGAATGCAGATGGTAGCAGAGTTGCTCCTTTTTGTACGCCCTAAATTCTATTGATTGATCAGACACGTTGCCCACGAGCTATTGTAGTTCATTTTGCCTTTTGAAAATCAAAGATTTGATTGCAGGGTTGGAGATCCCTACTTAGGTTTTTCTCATTTGCTTGGTGTGCATGATGGAACAACCTCAGCCATGTTGCAAGGGAGCTCAAGTGATGTTGAATCTCCAACCCACCTCTTCAGTTTCTATTCAATATCATCCGCTCTTTGGCTCCCATGATGATTTGATTCTCCTTGAACTTGATGAGAAACTTCTTCCTGATGTTCTGTACCAGAGGTAACATATAATTTTGTTCAGTATTTAGTCTTTTAAGTTGTCTCTCAAGGATTCCAATTTTATTCTTTGAATTCTTCTTCTTGTCCTTTTTTGTCCATCTTTTTTCTAGGGTAACCTTAAGAGGACAGACTGATGAAGATGCAGTTCTTTGCACTAAGTCAAAAACTTACTCAGTTAAGTTTGTTGGAACTTCAAATTCTGTGTTACTTGTACCACCTGCAGATTATTCAACATCGTGTAAAAATTCACGAGATTGTGATGGGGAAGACTATGAACAACAAATTGGTGCATCAGTCATCAAAGTTGCACCGGGTAACATGGAGCTTGTCGAGGTTGCTCCTAGACTTGACAAGCTCAAATCGATTCTCTCAGAGAATCTTTACAGCTCTGATGAGGCATTAGAGAAAGCGGATTTAGATTCTATGGAGAGAAGTAAGAGAAGATTGTATACATGGGATGATCTTACTAACAAGGTTCAGGCTAGTGATGATGAATTGAGGACTGGATTACAAGCTCGTTCAGCTGTGGAGATTGATGGGTATTGGAGAATTGTGGATGAGAAATACATGGACTTGATTCTTAGGATGCTTTTTCACAATTCTGTGTTGAATGACTGGTCACTAGACTCACTTATTGAAGATAAAGTTGTGAGTGTATTGGAGTCAGATGGGTTTCCACGCAAACTTGCCTACCATTGTTTGTATGTCTATGGTGGTAGGGTAGAGGAGGCCATGGATAGAGGTGTGTGGAAGATGGATGCAAGAAGAGTATGTGTGCATTTTGCAAGGGGAATCTTGAGAGAAGGAAAGAGGAAGATGGAGAGTTTCATGGAGGAGTGGATGCGGATGATTCCAGAAGAGATGCAGGTCAGTTTTGATATGTTGGAAGGTGAAGTGTTGACGGAGAAGCTTGGTGTAGAGACATGGGTTCGTGTCTTCAGTGTTTCTTCATTGCCTTCTACTCCTGCAGAACGTTTTTCCATCCTGTTCAAAGAACGACCAAAATGGGAGTGGAAGGACTTAGAGCCATACATCAGGTATTTCGTATTTCTATCATACATTGATCTGTTTTCTTGAATTCTTTGTTCCAGAAATAATCTAAGAGATTGACATTTTGATCTTTAGGGATCTAAATGTACCAGGCCTTTCATCGGAAGCTTTGCTTCTGAAGTATACTCGAAGAACTCAACCAAAAGTTGATGCAGAACCTGTTTTTACAGCTCGATAGTACACATACATACCCACATTACACTCGAAGAACTCAACCAATCATTGATGCAGAACCTGTTTTTGCTGCTAGATAGTACAAATATGTATCCTTCGCATTCTGAGGTGTCATTATTGTCCTTGTGAATTAAGTAAAATGAATCATAGTATTAGAAAAGTAACTTCTTTATCATTATTGTTGTTTTGATTAAACACTCCACCATGATACTAGATGCGTGTACCTAACTTCCTCATTGAGAGAAGTCTATTCTATCCTAGCTTTTTAAGGGTATAAATTGTAATTAGTAATGGAAATGGCCTTGGCAAAATTTTAATAGCTAGTTTTACATAGTTAGGACTGCAACTGATGAGAATCAACGGCAGCTCCTACAGTCCTACTCATAAAGAGTGTTTGAGTTTAAAATACGTCATGATGCCAGTATTACGTGGTAATTTCTTCCTTGCTGGAAATCATGATATCAATTTCCTCAAGGTTAAATTCTATAACTCGTAATATTAGAGTTGGTGCACACATAACGGGAAAGAAAGGGGAATTTGGAGGTAAACGTGTATCCTGTAATATTTGAAGGGTTTGGTGATAGGACATAAATTTACCAAAAGAACGAATGCAGCAGAAGCAGATGAATTTAGATGGGGTTTGGGAGTATAAGGTAAATGCAATGTGATCTACTTTTCGTGGTTGGTATCATTCATCCTAATAATCGCAGTCACAGGCCCTTTCAATGATCCATGGTCTCAAACCAATGTCTCCGAAATCATTCCTACTTTCCATTGGTTTATGTTGCTAATCTGTCATCCAAATTGTGCAGTCCCATTGAGGTGGGTCACCCTTTCCGTCTTAACCGTGTTGATGATAGAAAGCTGTCCCCACAAGAGAGCCCTTAGTAGCTATGGGGACAAAATTACGGTCGTATGTTATGAATTACAAGCCTTGTAAATGTAATCAGAGACTCCGTTTGCCCGCTGTGAGAAATGAAATAGTTGACCTGACCGAAACTACCACAGAGCTGCTTTACTTTCATATCTTTGTCGTTAGGGTTCTTGCCAAGGAAAAATCATTGTGCCTTTCTTTTCATTTTTCATTATTAGTTAAAAGGTGTTGGTGCGTTGTTGTAGATAGATTTAACATTTAGTGTATTTGTAACACATAAAACAGTAAAAATTTATATATATATATATATATATTATATTTTATACAAAAATTATCTATCATAATTCACATCAATAAAAAATGTGAAATATATTTTTTATTTATTTTGAATTCATATATATTTTTTATTAAAATTTCAACCTATATTTTTTTTTTCATATTATTTTTGTATTGTGTAATTGTGTCATATTTTGAATTATTTGATCTAACTACGGGTAAACATTTTTTTTTTGTTTTGCCATTCTATTCATCATTTTTTTACAAAATTTATAAAATTACAAGAACAAGGAAAAAAATAGGAATGAAACACATATATTTTAATTGGTTCACTTTTCTAGTAAAATTAATCTAAAAAATATTTTTAAAAAAAGCATAAAAGTGAAAAAAGAGTAAACGAATACATTTGGACAAAAACTAAAAAAGAAGAGTTAGAAAAAAAAAAAAAAAAAAAGCACATAGATGGTGCTATATCGACATCTAATATTGAACTTAAAAAAAAATTTTAATTAAGGTAAAAAGAATTATTTTATTAACATAATATACATATATGTATAAAATTTAATAAATAATAAAATATATATATTTTTATATACATTTCAAGATGGGTAAGAACAAATTATAAAAAATATACTTACGATTTAATCTTGTATTTTTTTAAAATAAACTTGATTCATCTCAATTAAATCTCGATTTTTAAAAATCACCTCTTTGTTGGATTGAGAATGATTAAAACTTGTAAAATACAAATTATTTGGATATTTTTATCAATTGACACTTCGCGTTACAAATTTTATTTTATTAAAAAATATAAAACAAGAACCAAAAGGTGAAAAACTCAAATAGGATGTCACATTGACACATTCATAATTTTTTTTTTACAAAATTACTTTTATTAAAAAGACAAAAAAGGAAAAAGAATCCGTTTGATAACTGAAAAATAACTTCAAAAAGTAAAATATTTTTCATAAAAAATCTTTTCTAGAAAAGACAATATTTTTTTTTGTTTGAAGAATTTTATAAAAAATTAATTTGTTATTCGTGCAATGCACGGATTATCTTGCTTTATTAATTTACTTTTAATTATTATTCAATCAATTATTTTCCTATTGTAATTGAAACTTTTTTTTTAAAGAGATTTAATTTGTGATGTAGCAAATTAAAAACTACTTATCATTTAATTTAGTTATTTATTATCTATTTAATAAGGTAATCATAAATAATTTATGGTTGTAAAAAAATTTACCTTCATGATGACACGTAAGATCATTTCTAATTTTATGTTATTTATCAAATAAATATATTTTAAAAATTATTAATTATTCAAATTTTTAAAATTTGAAAGAAAGACAAAATCATATATATATATATATATCTAATTATTTATGCTTGAAATTAATTTATAGTTAAAATACAATGAAAATTATCCTATAAATTATGGTTGATTATAAGGTTTTTTTTTAAATCACAAATTATTTTTTTAATTTCAATTGTTTTCTTCTTACCAAATAATCTCATACACTTTAAGTATGATAATATTATTTATCATATGAAAAATATATAATTTTATATCAATTAAATCTTAGAAAGTTAGTTAAATAAATTTAATTTAATTTAACTAATTAAAATAAATTAAGAAAATACATATTTTTAAATTCATATTCATGTTTGATTAATAAATGTTTATCAAAATTCAAGCAAGGAAAAAAAAAACATAAATTGACCATAATTGAATATAATTTTTTAACTTTATTAAGTAGACCTATTTGTTAGTTGAATTATAGGTCGAATTTATAATTTTATACATAAATTTTTAAGTATGAATTCAAAATATTATTATATTAAAAATTATTTAATTTTAAATTTTAAATATATTTAATGTTATAAAATTTTAACATTTTAATAATAAATATAAATTGAATAGGTGATTTGAGTCATACTTAAAACAGAATGTATAATTTAGAAATATGTACAACTGGATGTCACTAAATTTATAGACACTTTTTAATTTTTTAAATTCATATTTTCTTAAATTTATGTTTAAAAAAATATTAAGTGCTTACTAAATGAGATTTGATTTGAAAAATAAAAAAAAATGAAATCAAATTGGATTTCAATTAATTCTAACTGTTTTATAAATAAAAAGAGTGTTATGACTTTAAAAAGAAAAAAGTTTAGCAGATTATCAATTTTTATACAAAATCATAATTGATGCTCTAATTATATTATATACATAAAATATGATTTTAAAATTCAATTAGTTCTTGTTATTTTTAATAATATTTTGATATAAATAGTAAGTTTAAATCAATGTAATCAGGCAGACTATTAATGAAAGTATTTTTACAGATTGTAAGAAAATTGAATTAAAACAAAAAAATTACTTGATTGATTAAAAAGTCAAATATAAAGATAAAAGAAAAAATGTATGTAGATAACACTTATAAAATATAAAAATATATGTGTTTATATAACTTCATATCTTATAACATATAAAAAAAAAAGTTAAAGTTAAAAATTGTGTGCTTACTATAAGTATCTAAAAAAAATAAATTAAATGCTTCTATAACTTCCCCTTTTTAATATAAAAAGAAAATGAAATAACACAAAAATGGAGAATAATAACAAAAAAAAATCTAATTGATGTTAAAAAATGATATTAAACAATCATTTATAAATTATTAAGATATTAAATTTGATTCTTTTAAATAATAAAAAATTATCATGAAATCTATTAAGATAAAATTATATTTGATATTTTTTTAAATTTAATATATATAATTAATTTTAAAAAATAAAATATATATTATTGTCTTGATTGAAAAATGATAAGTGAAGCTTTTTATATTCCACGAGCAAATTTTATAATTATTAATACTATAAATTTAATTGTAAAGACAACAAAATTATAAACATTCTAAAATGTAACACTCATTATAAATAAAAAATAATTGTACTTTTTCACTCGCTATTTGTTATTTAAGACTAATACTATGTTCAGATCTATATATAACTAATTATTAGAAAATTAAATTTTAAAAATAAAAAGACATATTTAAAGGTGTATTTGACAAATAAAGATAAAATTTTTTAGTAAAAAAAAATTTTGGATAATTTAAAATTTTCAAATAAATATATTTTAAAAAGATTTGGATAACCATTAATTTTTTAAAAATAGGAATTAATTTTACTTATTTAAATAAAATTTTACCAAAATAAAAACTAATAATTTTATCTCTTTAATTATTTTAAATTTAAATCGATTTTTTATTTAAGTTTTAAAAATTTTGGATAATTAAAAAAATTTTGAAATTTATTTTTTGATAAAGAATCTAAAATTAAAAAATATCTTATATATCATTATAAAAAAATTTTAATAATTTTTGAAGTATCAAAAAAGAATATATTTATGTAAGCATTCACATCACTAAACCTTGATAATCATGTATGTTATAATATATATATATATATATATATATATATATAGAAAGAGAGAGAGAGAGAGAGAGAGAGATAACTTTCTATGTTTGGATGACAATACTAAAAATATTTTCCACCAGCTTTAATCATCGCTATGTTATGATTTTAACATTTTTTTCATGAATATTCTCTTTTAATATCAATTTTCATGATTTTAATAATAATAAATCCATCAAATACCTAGACAAGTTCATCAACTGAAAACTCAACACATCCATATTCATAAAAATTCAAACGAAAACCCATTAAAATGCATAATAATTCATGACACCCTTTTCAAATTGATTAAAACCATTTAAAATGTTTAAATTGAAAGATCATTTCATGGTGAGTAAGTCTTTACTGGAGATCTTTTCCTCAAGGTTATGATTTTTGGGTTTTTGTACAAATATTATTTGGGAATGAAGAAAGATTAGAGAAATAAACGAGAAGATGAAGGATTATGGGATATCCACAGGTTTCATGATGGTTATGAAAAAGGAAAAAAGAATTAAAGAGAGATTGAAGGATACGAAGAGAAAAGATAAAGATTTGTAGCTACTTGTGGGTTTTTTGACTGAGATGAAGCAAAAATGAGTTATTGTAACTAAAACAAAAACTAGAGTTGAAGCAAGAAATCCTTACCCATTGAGCAAAAAAGATGATGCAAGGAAACGGGAGAAACAAAAAAAAAAAAAAAAGAAAGTGAAGAATCTCCCTTCATACCCAATCGAGGCTGGTGTGGAGAAAGAGAAAAAATTATGAGAGAGTTGTGGGTTTGTCAGGAGAGTCCTCGAGAAAATGTCTTTCGCTTGAAAAAAGAAAAAAATGACAATTTTCGTATGTAATGCTTTGGTCTTTTGTTGACCAAAAAATATTTTGGGTTAACCATCACAATTTCGTCCTTCCAAACATTGAAAGACGTAAAAAATGATTTCTAGAAATGAATTTTATGATTACCAAATGAAGCCTAAAAAAACACTTATTGGAGTATTACATGGAGGTTTCAATTGAGTGAGGACCTATCAAATATATTGTTTTAGCATTGCTATGAATCAACTACTTTTATTGCAAATTTATTTAATGAAAAAATCAAAAGAAAAAAAAAAGTAAATTGGGGTGTCTCGTGATTGTTTTTTAACAAAATTTATCTAAAAAAATCTATTAAATGTTAAAAGAAAAAGGAAAAAAATATAAGATGACATTTTGAGATTTCAAATAAATGTAAAAAAATTAAAATGAATCAAATTCATATAATAGATGGACTCATAGTAAAAAAAATTTAATACTATTTTTAAAAATATTAAATATTTTTAAAAAAGGAAAAGTAGATAGTAAAAAAGAAAAGGCAAAAGTGAAAAAAGAAATAAAATAACTTAACACATGACATATTTTTTATATCAAGTGAGACTAAAAAATAAAATAAAATATTATTTTATTAAATATAAAAAAATATGTGATATACTTTTGGTATCAAGTGTCTAAAAAATGAAATCTAAAGAAAATCTTTATTAAATATTTTTGACAAAAGAGAAAAAAGTTAAAAAGAATAAAGAAGGAAAAGTAAAAAAAGTTTGATAGAAATGAGTTTTACGTAAGAAACATAAATTTTTTAAAATATAATTTTTATAATTTAAAATATTATTAAATAAATTTTTAAAAAATGATAAGGTAAAAAGGGTTAAAAAAAGTTTGATATAAGTAAGATCCGCACATAAAAATGAATTTTTAAAAATATATTTTTATATTTTAGAAAATATTTATAAAAAAATTTTAAAAAAGTAAAAAAATTTGATATAAATAGGTCTCACACATAATAAATAAATTTTTAAAATATATTTTTTATAATTTTTAAAAAAATCTAAAAAAATCATTATTGATTTTTTTAAAAAAGATAAAAGAAAGAAAAGTAAAAAATTGTTCCCGCACATAAAGAACAGAATCTTTAAAAATATATATTTTTAGTATATAAAAAATATTATTTAATTTTTTTACAAAAGGAAAAAGTTAAAAAGGGTAAAAAGAAAAAAATTGATATAATCGGTCTCAAAAAATAAAATCTTTAAAATATATATTTTTTATAATTTTAAAAATATTCATTAATTTTTTTCTAAAATGAAAATAAATAGTAAAAAATAAAACAAGTTTGATATAAGTGAGCCGCACACAGAAATTTTTTTTATAAATTATATATTTTTTATGATTTTAAAAATATTTATTAAATATTTAAAAAAAAAAAGAAAAAAAACACGGGACAGCATGTAGGTGGAAGTCACTATCAAAATTTAAAGTTAAAACCAGGCTGTTGCTAGCATACTGATACGGGTGAAAAATTTTTTAGTTTGACATCCTTATTGAACTATTTCTTTTTAAAACTTATATCTAATTTAAAAAAAGACCAAAAGGTACAAAAACTAAATGGGAATATACCTGGATGCACAAATTGATCATTTATTCTCACAAATGAGTTTTTTTTTTTTTTTTTGTAAAATTTAATCATGGATTTTTAAAAAAGTAAAACAAAAAATAAATCAGACAAGAAAAAAATTAAATTTAGATGTGATGTCTGACAGATTTGTGATTTTTTTAAAAATATTATTTAATTTTTTTTTACAAAAAAAATTAGAAAGGGTAAAGAGAAAAAAATTGATATAATTGGTAAAAAATATAAAATCTTTAAAATATATTTTTTATAATTTTAAGAATATTCATTAATTTTTTTCTAAAAAGAAAATAGATAAAAAGAGTAAAAAAATAAAATAAATTTAATATAAGTGTCTCCCACGCATAAAAAAAATCTTTTTAAAAATATATTTTTATGATTTAAAAAAATATTTATTAAATATTAAAAAAAAGTAAAAAAGATATGGGACAACGCGGGGAGCTCATATTTTATGCAGTACACTAGCAAAATTTAAAATTGTTGTTGCCCGCGCACTGCTAAATGTTAAAATTTTTTTAATTTTTGGCATTCTTATTTACTTATTTTTGTGTTGAAAACTTTATCTAATTTAAAAAATACCAAAAAAGACGGAAGGTACAAAAAACCCAAATGGGAGTGCACCTGGATGCATAAATCGGCCACTTATTTTTTTTTCTGCAAAATTTAATCATAGATTTTAAAAAAGCAAAAATTAAAAAACAAAAAAAAAGGAAAAAAAGAAAAAATATGAAATTCTAATGTGATGTCGACACATTGTAATATCTTTTCTTAAAAAATCATCAAATTAAAAAAAGAAAAAAAATTAATTTACAATATCGAATGGAACTCATATGTTTAAAAATATAAAATATAAAATAATTATTAAATATTTAAAAGAAGAAAGTAAAATAAAAAAAATAAAAAAAAATAAATGACTTGTTATCAAGTGGATCAAACAAAAAAGAATTTAAAATATTAAAAAATTTATTAAATATATAAAGAAAGAAAAATAATAGGAGAAAAAACAAACAGTAGAAATGGTTCCCACACCTAAAAAATTAAAATTTTTAAAAATATTAACAGAAAAAATTTAAAAAGAAAAGAAGAAAAGATAAGAAAGTAAATAATCTCCATCGAATTGAAATTGATTAAAATTCATCATATACAAATTATTTTATCATCTTTATTCATGGATTCTATAATTACAAATTATTTAATTAAAATAAAAAAATGAAAGGAAAAACAAATGGGATGCCACATGAAAAATTCTGTTGGCTTTCTTTCTCCCAAAAGTTATATAATAAAAAAACCAAAACGAAAAATTTTAAAAATAAAAAAAGTATAAAGAAAAAAAAGCAAAATAGGCTCATGCGTATGCTACGTGACACTCCATCTAACTAAAGATGTTAATCTCTTTATTAATATGATACATATATATATATATATAAATATAAAATTAAATAAATAATAATATATATTTATATATACTTAGGATGGATAAGAGTAAAACACCTTAAATCTCTTCTAACCTAACTTGATTTATGTTTTAAAAACCTAATTCTGACTCATCCAATCTCAATTAAAAAAAACTTTTTATCCAATCATTAATGGGATATTGATTATTTTTTTATTTTTATCCACCAACTCATTTTATTGTAAAATTTATCTTTTAAATAACATAAAAAAATGGCAAATAAAAAAAATCAAATAAAGATGCTATGTTAACACCTCAATTGGTATGATTTTCTCATAAAATTTGTGTAATTAAAAAATAAAGTACCGAAAAAAAAAAGGAAAAACAAAAAACCAAAAGAAGGAAAAAGAAATAACATAAACAAAAACAAAAAAATAAAGTTAAAAAAAAAAAACCAATTGGAGCTCATTGAGGTATCATATAGACATCTTTATTGAGCTTAAAATATTAATCTATTAAATTAAAGTGTTAAATAATTATTTTATTAATATAATATATATATAAATTTAAATTTAAATAAATAACAAAAAAATATTTTTATATATACCTCACAATTAGAGCAATGCACCTTAAATTCGCTTATAATCCTACCCTATTTATCTTTAAAAATCCGAGCCACTTAAGTCTAATGCCAATTTGAAGTCAAAATTCTCAATTCTCAATTTTATTAAACATGCCTTCAATGAATAAAATACATTTTATATATACCCTAAGTGAAAAACTCTAAAGCCTCTTACCCAATCATGATTTAAAAAAAAAATTAGTACACCCCAACCAAATCTTGATTTAATAAAAAATCGTCCATATTGGATTAAGGTGGATCAAAATCTGAAAATTGAATTAATTTATTATTTTTATCCCTATCAACTTTTTTTATAAAATTTATTTAATTTAAAAAATACAAAATAAAAGTTAAGAAAAAAAAAAGAAAGCCAAATGAGGATGCCATGTGACACCTCAATTGACCTCTTTTTCTTATAAAATTTAATATATAAATTTAAAAGAAAAAACAAAAACTGAAAAAAGTAAAAAAAAATACAAGTGTTATATCAACTTCTTTATCATATTTTTTTTTTACAAAATTATCTAATTGAAAAAAGGAAAAAAGGAAAAGATAAAAAAAAATATTTTTAATCAACAATATAAGATGAATCTCACTTTTTAAAAAAAAGATTATAAGATAATTTATTAAATGTGTAGAGAAAAAATAAGAAAAAAAATAGAAATTAAAAAAGGAAAAGAAATGAAAAAAAGAAAAAAAAGGGCAAAGAGGGCTTAACGCTCGGCTGGTCTACGTTGATCAAAATTTGCAAAATTAATAGTATGGAAGGATGGATGGATGGATGGGGAACTTTGTTATGATGAATATAATAATAGTTTGATGTCATTTCTTACAATGATCTTTGCTTTAAACCTGTGAAAGAATATAAGGAGTATCTGTTTTTTCCTTTCCAACCCAACGGAGAATTGATGTTTCCTAATAGTGAGAGAAAAGATGAGCTGGAAATGGCTCAAGGAATTGAGAATGGTTAATGACTGTTTGGTGAGATAGAGCCAAAATTATATAACTATCTTGGCTCAATGTTGTTTGTGCGGCTTGTGCTGTCCAAGCCAAGTAAAACACAAACACTCTTACCCAATGAGCTGACAACGTTGAATTTTCGAAGACAGAATGATAAAGGATCGTTGTTTGGTACGGATTATTATTATTATTATTATTATTATCATCGTCGTCATCAAACATAACTACTGCCTTTTAGCACGCACGTGGTTCAAGTGTAAATGCAGAGTTGGAGAAGGGCAGTTGTAGTGGGAGAATTATAGGTGAAGAAAGTCGGGTCATGGTGTCTTTTCATCTTTAGCAATAATTTTTGATTGCTACTCCATAGCACATAGACAAACAATTTCACTTGAGCTGAGATTCTTTTTCCTTGTTTTTTAAGATTCATATCTTTTCTTACTATGGAAGTCTGAAAACTATTTTTCTGAGCATAATTCAAAGATTCAATCATAAGAAATCTTGCATATCCTTAATCTTTTAAAGGTAAGATATAGTAGTGCCACTTCTTTGCTATATGGATATTCATGGTTAGCTTGTTTACAAGCATTGAAAAATTAAACCTGAGTAACATAAGGACTGTTTTACAGTCCAATTTAATAAGTTAGTTGAACCTGCTTCACATCTTAAAATAGTGACACCACCAGATCAATCTGCTGCTAGTATTGAAGGTTTTTCTATGAGCTGGCTGCTTTAATTTGTCAGTTTTGAAGTTCAGAATTTCTATTATACTAATATTTTTGTATTTTATTTCACATAATAATATAACAAAATCCGTTCCATCTAATTTTTTGATGTGCAGGTTAGACAGCTTCTTTAGGCTCTTCAGCACTGCAAAACTTTGAGTTGTTCTTCACTGTTGTTGACAATCTGCAATACTATCCATTCAAGGTACTCAGTGTTTCATGTCCTAGTTCAAGGTTCCGCTTTGGTATCCATTTTACAGAATAAAGAACAGAGATTGTCTCATGTTTTTTATCTTTTCTTTTTTCATAGAAACTAGGCATATGGTGCTTAGTAGTTTTCTTATTTTTCCTGCTTAAGTAATCACTGTAACACACTGGATTACGGGAAAGATTTAGGTATGAAGCAGATCTCCTGTTCAGGTGGAAAGGATACCCCATTCAAATTTTTGGAATTGTCTCTGTGGCACTTGAATTATGCTTTTCATCTCACCTGGATCCTTGATTCATATGTGCTGTGTAACTTCCAAGCTGGAAGCTACATAGAGCTTTCTTGTTAATACCTTGGACCCTTCTCCTTTAGTTCCCAATTCTTTTCAAAGTTGTTAATAGTTGGCAAATATTTGTCTCTTTTCAGCAATATTACTCTTCCTTACTCAAATGTCTCTGTTTTGAAGTTACCTTTTACTCAGTAGCTGTTCATGCGTTACTCAAATTCTGTTTTGACATGATGTTTTACTGAAAATGGACATTTCTAATAACATTTCACATTTGCTTGTTCTGTGGACAATGATTTGCTATCACTTTGTTTTATGACGAAGTTTGATCGTAATGTTAACTTGAAAATGGGTTTCCCTCGTAGGACTGAGTTTCTTGGCAAGGTCCTGTAATGGAGTTACTGAATTTGTTCATTACATCATTGATACCAGTTGTAAAAGTACTACTGGTTATTGCTGTTGGCTTATTCCTTGCAACGGAACGTATTGATCTTTTGGGAGCAAATGCAAGGCACCATTTGAATAATGTAAGTTCGCAATTTTTTTTTTTTGTATAATATCAACGTAAGTATGACATAGTAATACCTGAAAATGAGTTGGTGGGGGACTTGAAAAGAGAAAGTGAATGAAGGTTTATGATACAGGAATGCTGCCCTGGCATTCATCGCCATCACCATTTAGACGGCTAGATTAGAAAACAATTTCATGTTATTGGCAAATAAATATGTTCTGCCTGGATGTGTGGAAAGGAAGAAGAAGAAAATATTCAATCAAGAATGAAGAAAGCAAGCTAATCTTACCAAAATAGATCCTTATTAGCAATTAGGAATAGATTGGTAAAAGATTTAACTGACGCTTCATGAGCCGTGTTAAGTGTTAAGGGTTCTACAGCTAGTGAGACTCTACCAGTTACATACCTAGGAAACTGCAGCGCTGCTGCTACTCGCATTGCCTTAATTTTTTTTTTGGATAAACGATGTCTTTTATTTATCCAAGAAAAGCAGGGAGAAATATGCTGCTACCAATACCATACTGTACAAAACTATACATTTACAAACACAAATGTAAAACCAAGTAACCTTTACGGTCAATAACAAAGTCTCCAACTTGTACAAAGGGAAAGATTCTTGGGAGGGTAAAGTTGAGAGCCACTCAGCTTAAAACTCACAGAATCAAGAATACCAGTGAAAATCTTATCTGCTCCACTTCTCCCTAGCTTCCCATAGTTCCTGCTATTTCTCTCTAACCAGATATAGTAGGTATGTGCACTCCAATCTAACTTAAGGACAATAACATGAAGAGACTTACCTTTGAGGTGTTGAATCCAGTCAAATTCACCATGCCAATCCGCCACAGTCCTAGCAATTCCAGAACACTGCAACACCTTACCCCAGACTTACTTGGAAAAAGAGCAGCCAAAAAATAGATGACATCTATCTTCGTTATCCTGCCCACAAAGAAGACAAGTAGTGCTAGTAACCATACCCCAACTGCTAAGCCTCTAGAATGTAAGAAGCCTATCCAAGATAGCCACCCAAGCTCTCAAAGCATGCTTGAATACTGTATTGAAACCATAAAAGCCTTTTCCAGGTCACTTTTGGTTGCTTGGAGAGAATGAAATTAAAAGTAGCTGCAACATTAAAAACCCCTAACTTGGATGCAATCCACTTTACCTTGTCACCAATGAAATCAAAGAGGGGCACAGCAACACTTCTCAAGTTGAGATGTTTTTTCCAAGCCTAACTACAGTGGATGTTTTTGTATGCATTACCTTATTACAATACACTACATTGACCCAAAGAAAAGTTACAGATACTTACACTGCTGCAAAATAAGAAAATCAAATGCTGCCTGAACAGAGAGAGAAAGGAGATCAGACATTAACTTGTCAACTGGTATTTTTTTTCTGTCTAGTTTGTGAAGCATTTTTTCAGTAATTATTAAGATCTTTCCCTTGCCTAATTGGGGGACTATATTGTATCTATGAGTGTTTATTTTAGTTCACCTTGCCAACTCTTTAAATCATTATTCTCTTTCCTTCTTTCGCACAAACACTTTTATAGACAAAGTGCTAATCTTAACAAATTCATATGAGCAGCTGGTATTCTATGTTTTCTTTCCTGCTCTGATCGGCTGCAGTCTTGCTGATACGATCACTATTGAGAATTTGGCTACCTTGTGAGTTCATTTATGTTCACTTCGTTTCACTAAATACCAAACAAACTTGAAGTATGTATTCCCACTCGTTTAACCAATTTATCATTTTATTGGATGCAAGTCTAGGTGGTTTATGCCAGTAAACATCTTTATCTCATGTATAATCGGTTCAGCACTTGGATGGATACTTGTAAAGATTACAAGAACTCCTCGACACCTAAAGGGCCTGGTAATCGCTTGCTCTTCTGCAGGTAAGAAGATTTCTTCAGTAGTTAATTGTTATGCTAATGCTATGTAGAATGCGCACATTAAGGGTATAGCTCCCTATACCTTAATCATAAAGGGCCATTCCCATAGAACTGATGGATTTCATGCGAACTATGCCTTATTATAAACATAAAATAAATATTTGTAAAATTTATACAATCTTGTCCCGTGGAAATAAGATTTGAGCTAAAGAACATTTCAGTTTTTGTTCTATATGCAATATTATTATGCATGGAATGGAGACAAATGGAAAGAAACCATAATGATCATAGGTGGCCAGCGTGTAGCCTAATGGCAGCCATAACTTACCTCTAAAAAAACTATAAAACTTAAATAAGCATAAAAACAATATGCGCAATACAATTTGTTGGGCTTTACTAAATCTGAAATAGGAGTGAGCCTGAGATCATAATGTTTATTTTTCTTTTCTTTGAGAGAGGAAATGAAAGCAAAAAGATACATGATATGTTGGGTAGCAGGTAGCATATTAGCAAGAATTTGAAAACCGCTTATAGTAGGTTGTGCTCATCTTGAAGTACGGTATATCATTTGTGTTCCATGTTTTTCAACACCTACATCTTTAATTAATTTCCTTCAATATTTTTTTTTTCCTTCGGCACCATTGGCCTAAAGTTGGAATATAAGGCTTGCATTTTTGATGTTCACAGCAAATTTGGGAAACATGCTTCTCATCATACTTCCAGCCATATGTGAACAGTCGAGCAGTCCATTTGGAGATTCATCCACCTGCTCTGCATATGGAGAAGCTTATGCTTCACTTTCTTTAGCGGTATTGTCTATTGCTCTTGCCCTATCACTGTGCAAATGAAGAAGTGTAATAATAAGATATGTTTGTGATTGCATGTTAGATTTCTCTTGATGCCTGCCCTGGTTTCTTGTCTACTGCTTAGTAAAGGGGATTATCCAATGCATCTTTTATTTCTCATTGAGTAAAGGGGTGCATCTTTTTTTGTTTTCCCTTTTCAATAATACATTGTCTTGGTGTCATTTTTTTTTGAGGACGCATGCCTTTCCCTTGAATAATTTCAATGCAGAATGAGTCCCAAGGGTTGAAAGACCTTGGTGTAACCTTACCATAGCATTCTCTCAACTATGAAATGTGACCTTCAAGCTAATCCTTGGTTGAAAATATTGGAGGCCATATTCCCGTCAGATTAGAAAGCCAAATTAAGGGCAGCCAGTTCCTACAACTTTTGGTCCAAGTGCAATGGTCAAAATGATGATATGATGTGTTGTATGTCAATTTGGTTTAGTGACAAACTTTGGAAGAAGCAATTGAAAGCTTGGGATGTTGACAGTGGGTCAGTTTCTTACATGGCAACCTTAAAAATTGATAAGTTGCACATAGAACTTGTCGCATGAACACACCTAGTAGTTCAACTGTACAGACCTCTTGCATGACAAGTCATTGACAATTATATGAAACAAAAGAAAAGAAAAATGTTGCAATACAATTCCTCAGCATTGTAATATAACCTTCAGTTCTGCATAATTGAAACCTTTTAGTTTTTCTTGCAGCTATATACTATAATGACTTTGTAAAGTTGTTTCTAATAATACAGATACAAGCAATTTATGTCTGGTCCATTTTGTATTTTATCATGCGGACTTCTGCAAACTGTGAAGTTGAAGAAATCAAGGCAAATGACTGTACAATCATTGTAAAGACTTCTGGACAAACCACAGAAATACTCTCTGAGACTTGCGCAGAACCTTTACTTACTTCAAATGGTTGCTCTGGTGACAACATATATCAAGTTGACTTACCTCAAATTAGGGATGAGGGAAATGAGAAGGTTTATTTCCACTTTTTGTTTTGAATACAAATATCTCTTTTATCTTTCGGGACCTCTTCCTTTAAAAATTTCTGCTCATAATAAAATTGAGTGTGGTAAAGTGAATTAAAAGTATGAGAAAACTCTTATTACACTCTTATTGTGTAGATTATGATTTTGTCCTCAGTTTCCTGACATCAGCATGCATGATATATATGCTTGAACTTGTGTGGTTAAGGCAAAAATATTTCTAATGTAAGATATCGTGTGCGAATAGGTTGAAAAATTTTAACGACCATTCTGAATTAAATAGTTCAATAAATACCATTCTGAAAATTATTGGTGCATGTTGCATTTGACAATAATGAAAGTTTCACTTTTTTTCCTTTTGAAGAATGGTAGAAAGGGTGCTTGAGGTTTTGGCTTTATTCAAATACTAACTTTTTTCTCATCATGATTTCTTAGATTTCAACTTTTGGAAAGATCAAGCAATGTTTTATGACCGTTATTAGAAGCAAGAGCCTGAAGATGATATTTGCACCATCTACAATTGCTGCGGTACGCTCATTGTCTTGGTTATCTTCTATGATTTTTGCAACAGTGCTATTATAAAACAGCATGGCTATTAGTTGAATAGATTCAGTTGTAGGCTTTTAGTAGACCTATTACCTTGCTTAATAATATGTATATGTAGCTGCTTTAATATTAGAAAAATGATGAAACCTTAGATAAGAGGGGAAGGACAAGTTTCCCTCCTTTGTACTCTTTCAACTACATGCATGCCTATATAATAAAGACCAGTTCACAAGGGAGAAAAAAAGATTTCATTAGAATTACCTAATTTATTATGGCGGTGATGAGAAATATAATATATAGAGGTTTACTTTTGAAATTTTACTATTTCGGTTTTGGCAGAGTGATGTAAAGTGCTGCATTAATCTCTCCGTCTCTGCATTTTGGTTATGCCACAGAGGGAACTTTAGAGTTTAGACTAACATGTTTGGTGCTTTCTTTTATAGATTGTTGGGTTTATTGTTGGAATAGTCTCTCCAATTCGAAACGCACTGGTTGGTGATAGCGCTCCCGTTCATGTCATCTACAGCTCCATAGAATTGATAGGGTACGCATAAATCCTGAGGCGTTTTCTGTTTTGCTCCCGATCTTGAGGCTGGTTTCTTTCTACTCTTGAGAAGCTAAAGCTATGTAATATATGTGTAATGTGTCAATATGATTAAGTAGTAATTATTGTGCTACCAGATGAAAAAAGTTTTTCCCTAACACGGATCGGGTTTTTTCTTCTGTATACTGGGAATATGCACAGGCATTTGTAAGTATCAAAATCTTAGGATTGCTCCCAAGGTTTCCCTCATTACCTGTTGGAGCTTTCTGTTTTTCCCTTTCTTTTTGTACACATGCACACGCATTGAACATTTCCCATAAAATTCCTCGATAATAGAAGCATTGGTTCAGTATGTTAAAAACTACTACAATACATGGTATAGAGGATATCGTGCGGAGAATTAATAGAGATAGTGCTTGAAATATTTTTAATTTGATGCTGTTTATCATGTTAATTATACCTGTCAATAATTTGGTTTCTGTATTTTTTTTTATCTGATCATGTGTAGAGAGGCAGGAATCCCATCCATTACCCTAATAGTGGGAGCAAATCTTCTTAAAGGTAATTTGCTTATATTAGCAGGCTTTAATGAAGCTTTTGTTGGAGTATGACTCAGCCTAACCTAGCAACTTTTATTCCCCCTCCAGGGTTGAAAGGGTCAGGAGTAGGAGCATCCCTTATCGTAGGCATTATTGTTATAAGGAATATTCTGTTGCCTGTATGTGGTATTGTTGTTGTAAAAACTGCAAACTACTTGGGTGTGGTGGACTCAGACTCATTTTATCAGTTCACTCTTCTACTGCAGTATGCAATTCCACCCGCAATGAACATAGGTATGGATAGCTATATAGATAAATGACTCTCCTGATCTGTACACACTAACAGTAATTCTCAATCTTATTTCCTTGTGAACTTGCAGGTACCATAAGCCAGATGCTAGGAACCGGAGAGAGCGAATTTTCTGTGCTTATGCTCTGGAATTATGTTGTGGCAGCTTTCTCTCTCACGCTCTGGACAGCCTTCTACATGTGGCTTGTCACTTAAGTCAGACTTTGGAATCCTGATCGATCTTCATGCATTTATTAATGGTCCAAGGGAATTAAGAAGCATTCATCTTAGTTCTTGTGGGCAGGGCAGTCCAATCTACCAAGTCATTATTCAACTCAAATCAAAATCAATTTATTTTCCAATTGCATTTGATATACTCAAATATAACATCAAAGCAGTCGTGACATGATGTTATATATTCTCTTCCCTAGGTAAAAAAATAAAAGCTCTTCCATCTTTATCACTGCTTGTGTTATATAATATATACATGTCGGCTATATGTGTATGAGTTTGAAATATGAATTCCACAAGCAAAATCATTCTAATTCTCATCACGTTGAAATGAATACCAGAAAATGAGGAAAGACAAACCAGCCTTAGACGTAATTAACCACTGATGAACTTAGTTACTGATTTGAAAACCATTTTCTCTTTTGCTACAAAACAAAGGCGTCTTCACTATTCACTCTTCTGAATAGAATTCTTTTAATTTCCAAAAATAGAGGGAGAAAGAAAACGGCGGAATGATATGGGTTTATTTTTAGTAATGGACCAGACCTGGCTCGGTTCAGTAGAAATTTGGAATAAATTATACAGAAAATTTGTATAAAAAAAAAACCTGTTTGAGAGAACCTTGACCCTCTAGTGCAATATTCAGCCACAATCTTTCCTTTACAGTGTTGATATCGTAAACGTGGACTTAGCTGATAGGGGTACTTTTAGGTTCAAAGGCAAAAGGAATTTTTTCTCTCATTAATACAAGTTAGCGGATAGTTAAAGATATTTTGGATTTTTCAACTGAGCTGACAAGATCGATCTAAATTTAAGACTCTATATCAACTCGATTACCTCATCAAGTTCACGTGTGAGACCTTTGAGGAGCTGATTTGGCATATTCTGAGTGAAGAGTCAATTGCTAGGCCAGCTTGAGCCTACCAAGTTATCCCTAGCCTTTAAGGCTAATGTCAGGTAGTCTAAGCTGTTTGTGACCTCCACCTTACAGACATAAATAGCATCTCACAAACACCTTTCAACCATTTTGTTTTTCTATATTAATTGCTTTCTCTTTCTCATTTCTTTCCTAAATTAACCACTAACTTGAGCATCGTAGTACAAATACTGAGATCTCTTCTAGCTTTTGTTGTTAACTGCTCTCTTTCATTCTTTGTTACGATTTCAAGGTTTTGCCCCCTCATAGATAGCTCTGCACAAATGTTTAGCACACTAGGTAGGAGGACTCTTTATATAAGCCAAGTTAAATATGCCACCTAAAAGAGAGTAGTTGAGGAAGGAGAAATAATTGTTACTAGGACAGATACCCAGCTCAGCCAACCCAATCCAGACCGACCTGCAGTAACATGCACCACCACGAAACAATTCCAAGCCTTGACTCAACAATTCCAATCCCTAAAAGAAATGATCCAAGACCTTGCCCCATTTCAATCTACAAAGGTGACTCGACTACCTGAAGAAATCCACATGTCCAAGCTACAACAACATCGTAGCCTTATCAACATCAAATGATAAGGAATAAGCCACCCTAATGACCTATTACCCCAAACAAACTCTAACACAAGCCACCAACTAAAAGTCTAAACAAGCCACCTCGAAACCCCAATTTAATAAGTACCTGATAGCTCAGATGCAGGCCATGGAGAAAAAATTGAAGAACAAGGCCATTGCTTTCGATGACGAGCTAAAATTTCTAGAAACTTCTCCTTTTATTGAGGAGATTGACCGAGCCATGCCACCAAAGGGGTTCAAAATGCCTACCTTGAAAACATATGATAGTACATTTGACCATTTTAATCATTTAGAGTTTTATTGGGCTAACATGATGATGTAAAGGGCCAATGAAGCTCTAATGTGCAAAAGATTAACCACCATACTTAAAGGGGTAACTCGATAATGGTATTATAGTTTGGAATCGAAGTTCATCAGCTCAACTATTCCTTCTTATCTAGATTCATCAATAGCCAATGAAAAAAAAACTACACTAAGCTTAATGTTGATTTAACAAGGTCAAAATGATCCCTAGAAAAGAGTACGTCATATGTTTTAACATTGAGGCTCTTCAAGTCAAAGATTAAAGCACGCTATAGCAATCGTTGCTCTGACCAATAGACTAAGTGATAGAGAGTATCAGTTTAAGCTCACTCTCTCCCTAGAGTCACCAAAGACTTTGGCCAATGTTTTACTCATTTTTGAAAAATATATCAACACTGCGACAACATATCATAAAAGATCTTATAAAAAGATGTCTTTCCATGAAACTACAACCATAATACTGAAGACTACATCGACCTGAAGAATAAGATTGAGAACTTGATCAAAAAATGTTAGTTTGGTAGGTTTGTGGACCAAAGAAGACAAGGTCAGGGAGAGGAGATTTCAAAAGCAAAAATGAAGAAAAAAAGACATGAAGGAACTAAGAAAACAGAAAAAAAAATCGAGGTTGTGGTAATTCAAGAATCGAAAGGAAAAGGATAAAAGGAATAATGTGGACAACAAGCCCATTATAGGCATTATAAATGTGATTATTGGGGGAACTTTTATGTCAACCAAGAAAAAGTTTGATCAAGGGATAGTGATGGCCATAGGATCTTCGACCAAAAAGCAAAAAAGTTGAAAAGACGAGATTATCTCATTTAACTCAGAAGTTCTAGAAGGAATATAGTTTTCACATTATAATACTATTGTAATCCAAGCTATGGTTTAGAATTATATGGTGAGAAAGATTATGAGAGTTCAATCATATCCTATATTATGCCACGATATTGAAAATGGATATCATTGAACAGATGTTAAAACCATTCACTACTATGTTGATCAACTTTAGGAATGAATAGGTGCCAGTAAAAGGAACTATCAAATTGTCGATCTCATTAGGTACTGAGCTAAAGAGTATCACCTTAATCATAGAATTTATGATGGTAGATAACCCCATCAGCTTATAATATGATACTTGATAGACCTAGTTATTTTGTTATTAGAATCATTGATTCAATTCTTTGTTTAAAGATCAAATTTATGTCGTCGAAGGGGGTTGGAAAGGTTAGAGAAGATCAGTCTACAATGCAATAATGATATGTCACAACTATAAAAGGTAGGACTAGGAAGTAGATTGATAGTTCGACCAGAATCGAGATATCTTAAAGCAATGAAAAGGTCGGGGTAAAAGTCAAAGTAGTTGGTGAAGTAAAGGAAAACAACTCAGGTAAGAAGTAAAAAGAGATTGAGGAAAGAAGAGTAGTGCACTTCTAAGTTGTTTTGAGCTCCAAAGCTTAATACTTATACTTACATTTGAAAAAAGTTCTTAAAAAATTTATTGAAGTTGTGCTCTGAAGCTGGCATACACATATGTCAACTGAATTGTGTTTTTTAGATGGTCACATGAATACAAAAGCTACATTTTGATCTGTTCATCTTTTCAACAATGTGTTATTTTACTAACAAATCAACTAATTACTATGTTATGATTCATCATTTTCGTAAAAAATAGTCCTAACCTAATCGAACAAAAATAAATCATCGACCAAAGAACTGAGGCTAATGATGGTTGATCAAAACTGACAAAAGACTTTATTTTTGTGTTGTTCTATAAAAAAAATTAAAAATGTATACAAATTGAGGCTAAGCTTAACTATACAGAATAGATAATTCAACTCTTAAGAAATAATGCCAATCTGTTTACATAAGCCCTATCCGACATGCCTGATATAGATCCTATGGTGTGGTCTATAGGTTACACACCAATTTGAACATGAAACCAATTCGATAAAAAAAGAAAACTTTTACCTCGAAAAGATAAAAAGCAATTGAAGAAAAGGTCAACAAATTATTAAAAGTAAGCTTCATTAAGGAAGCATACTACCTTGAATGGATTACCAATGTCATCAAAATGAAAAAGCACAATGAAAAGTGAAGAATGTGCATAGATTTCTTTGCTCTTAACAAAGCCTGCTTAAATGATAGTTTTTCTCTGTCTAATATAGGTTGGTTTGTGGATGAATGTCGAGCATGGCTTGTTCAACTTTATGGATGCTTATTTAGGTTATAATCAAATCAAAATACTAAAGAAAAATGAGGAAAAAACAACATTCATGGCCAAAAAGTGCCTATATTATTACAAGGTGATGCCTTTTCATTGGCTACTTGATAAACTGAAAGGAGATAGAGGCAAACCCCATGAAAGTTCAAGCCATTTTAGACATGAAAAGATCGACCTCAGTAAAATAAGTATAAAGATTAACTAGAAGAATTGCTACTCTGAGTAAATTTATGTCGAAGTAGGTTAATAGGTGTCTAGCATTTTTAAAAATTTTTAAAATTATCTCAGATTTCAGATGGATTTTTTAGCGCCAAAAAACTTTTGAAAAGCTCAAGCAATTTCTCTTTTCTCCTTCTATATTGTCCAAATCAAGGCTTGATAAGATATTATTCCTTTATATTGCAATTACTAATCAGGTTATTAGCTCTATTTTAGTTCAAAAAAAAAAAAAAGAGAAAAAGATCAGTGTATTTTGTGAGCTGAGTACTAATAAGATTTGAGATAAACTACTCAAAAATAGAAAAACTAGCCTATGTTGTTGTCTTTTTAGCTACAAAGCTCAGACCATACTTCTAATCCCATACTATAAATGTTCTGATCGATCAGCCACTTAACAAATTTTACAAAAACTCAAGTTGTTAAGAAGATTGATCAAGTGGATGGTAGATTCTATGAACACAACCTACATTTTTTGCCTAGATCAATGTTAAAATCATAGGTGCTAGTCGACTTTATAGTCGAATGTACCTCAACAGAGACCAAGGAACAACCCAAAGAGGTCGATGAATGGAGGAAGGAAGAGACATGGAAACTTTTTGTTGATGGGTTGGCTATAAACTAGAGGAGTGTGGTTGACCTGATTTTGATCAACCTAGAAAATATGCAGTTCCAATATGCCTTAAAATTTAGGTTCAAAGTCTCAAATAATGAAGCTGAATATGAAGTGTTGATTGCTTGTTTAAAACTAGCTGTCAATCTAAATGTAAAAATATTCTTATGTAGAGTAACTCATAATTAGTTATCGACCAAGTCAATGGGGAATTTGGAGCTTGAGAAAGAGAAATAAAGAAATACCTCAACAAAACACAAGCATTTCTAGCTATATTTTCAAAGGTCAAAGGGAAAAAGATACTAAGGTCAAAAAACACTGTGGCTGACTCATTATCCAAATTATCATCTAAGATCACAATAGATAGCTTGACCCATGTCTTGGTAGAAGAGTTGGTAGAGAAAAGTATTAATAAGAAACAAGTTGGCCAAAGTGAGAGAAAAGAATAATGGATGACCTTAATTAGAATTTAACTGATGACTAGTGAACTACCTAAAGATAAAGTACAAGCTCAAGCTTTAACCAGAAAAGCTCATTAGTACACCATCATTAATGAAAAATTATACAAGAGATCTTTCAATTTACCTTAATTCAGTTTGCCTTACTTAAGATGAGTGGATGAAGAGAATGTAAACT